CGCCCCCATCCGCCTCCTCGCTGTGGACCAAGCCTTTCCGGCCGGGCCGGGCCGTCTCTTCCGACACGGGACCCGTCGTCTCCACCGCCACTACTGCTACAACCCGCCACCGCCACCCCGCCCACGACCCGGGATAAGTAATGCCATCAGCTTGATTTGCGTTCCCCCCAGGATAGCAACTGGTTAGCATTTCTGTGGATAAGGGCTGCTGCTGCCGGCCTTGGCGGGCGGCTTCGTGACGTTAGTTGGGGTGATGGGACTTTAAAAAGGCTGCGTGTTTTTGAGGCAATAGCGGAGGCAGCAGTGGCGTTAGAGGGGTAGGGTGGTGTGGGAGGGGGTGGGGGATGCTTGCTCGGTCGCACCAAAAAACAACCCCCTCCAGTGGTCTCCAAAGCCACTCGGGCTTCTGCCACCGCACAACCACCAATAGCTGAACGGTTCCGAGCGGTCTCCTCCCCCTCCCTCTCTCCTTTCGCATATATGCCCCTTTGGATCCCCTCCTCTGCAGTCGGTTAACCGCTGCCCTTTACTTTTCTCGTGGGATTAGGAAAAGATATAGAAAGGAAATGCACGTACTATTCCTTAATGTGTTACTCCCCTAATCTAGGAAACAAGCAGGCCCGCCCTTCCGCCAAATGAAGTTGTCCGCTTCACTTATCTCCGCAAGCAACTCAGTTCGGCCTCGGCAGGGGCCTGACCTGCTTGCCTGGCCTGTCAGCAGCGGTGTTTGGTGGGGCCCACACTGGTAAAACAAAGGTGTGAATTAACACATTTCCAGGGGCGTTACAGTCAAAGGGCGTTATCGTATTAGTTTCTCCCAAATATTTTCTGATTTAGCAAACCAAGTTTGTAGGACTTTTATTTTAGTATTTAGCTCAAAATTCCGCCTTGATCAAGCCTACATGTGATGGTTCGAATCACAAATGAAAGAAATTTAGTAGATTCCTGAGGGTCAGTTACTTACTTCACCGTTCTTCAGACACATGTCAAAAGTAGGTTCGTTCAAAGCGGAATTTTGAGCTGATGCGAAAATATTAGTCGTACAGCCCTGGTTTACTTCAGCAGAAAATATTTCGAAAAAACTAAGACGTCAACGCCTTTAGAACTTTAATGCTTTTAAAAGGTGTGACTTCACACCTTTGTTTTACCAGTGCAGGAACAAATATATGACCACTTATTGTGTTACAATACCAAACTTTACGTTACGTTATTTGCAACAATAACAAGAAGATTCTGTAACTTAAGCAAAGTAACAAAATCAATATCAGAACATTTATTTATTTATGAAACCTTGAACGGTTGTAGAGATAACCCTTATAAGTTACTTTGAATTTCATGTAACATTGCACGCCCCACCTTATCCGTTACAAATCATGAAACGAATCAAACCGATCGAATTTGTTTTTGGTAAGATACTGGTCTTGGTGACTCTCGGTGCGATTCATTTAAAGTTGATGACGTCTTTCTTACTCTCCGACAGTACTAGCTACTGACGCATTCAACTCTATTGTTTTAGTAGTTCGTTAAACTATCTGTTAAATATAGCATCTACATAAAATACGAAAAAACGTCATGCGGTCCACATTGGATGTGACTTTCTATTTGTTGTGTTTTTAAATAAAATAGGTGCGGTTGGGCACCTATATTGTAATTTGGGGGTGTCTCAAATGTATACGCTCATGCTTATAGGCGTATGCTACAGGATCCCGGGCAACGTTTGGCGTGGCGTATACTTCTGAGAAAATTTTTGGTGTATAGATTCTAGAGATCTTTTCCCATACTACTCCCTCGGCACAGCCCCAGCTTTGAGCATGTAGGTGTGTGACGTGAGCGCCTTTCAGAGTGTAGTGTCTGTATCAAAGGACTCATGCTGTGCTGTGGGAATGGGATGGGCAAAGATGTCTAGAATCTA